AAAAAACAAAACGCACTATGTTAAAATTTGCCCCTACCTTAAAAGCCAATTTATCTAAATAAATAAATCTAATTTACTATTTGACTGAAAATGATTAAAGCACTGATGGATTGAACTTTTTCCACGAAAGTAATCCTAAAATAAACATTCTTCCTCAGAAGACACGCTCCTGTCATGTGATTGGAAATGTAAAGCAGGTTCTCATTGCTCAAAATAAAACTCGTAGCCAGATCCTTTCGGATCGAACGTAAACATGGTTAAGAAAGTTTGCGTCCTGTCGGTTGTTCGTTGTTGTAATATTGCTTTGTAAGGGCTTAAAACAGGGGTAAATTTTGAAGCTGGAATGGAAAACAGGAAATGAGAAGTATCAAACAGAATATGTCTCCACAAATTCGTCTTTTTAGGCGACGGAAATCGGGAGTTGTGGTCAAAATACCGCACAGTACGAAATCTGGGTATTTGCCCCCGTCAACATCACGACCGCACTGGCGTCTCCTGTGCGTGACAAAACAAACATCTGTCGTGACCAGTGCTTAACATGACATTACATAACTTTCTTTTCTCTCGAATTTTAGGGTAGCTAAAGTCTAAGATAATATCTTCGAGAGGAAAAAATAATAAAAAAAAATAATAATAATGATAATAATGATAATGATGTAGCTGTACCTTAGTTTGAGGCCAGTTTATTTAACTCCCTCAATTTGACATAAATTTGTTGGCTGCCCAGTCTCTATATTTCCATTTACTTCAGCCCAAGAGCATCACTCCGAATAATTTTTTTTTCTTTGAGAACTGAACAGCACAGATTGTTAAACAAATAGATTTAAAAAATAGTAATACTTGCAGCATTGTTACCATTTTACATGTGAAGCAGCAATTATTCAAGCACATATTTAAATTCCTCCATTATAAATTCTCCCTGAACAACTCATGGCCACAGGATTTTGGCAGAATCAAGCCCTTGACTAAATTAGAACCAATTAAATCCCCTTATAAAAAATAAGACCTCAAAGTTGATTATGAGCATCAAAATCATTTCTTAGCCACAAGCCTCAGCAGAACATTAAAGGACCATCACTGCAAGCTTCTGCTACAGCACCAAGTAATTTCCTGGACATCCCTCAGGCCACCATCAGTGAGCAACAGTCAAGGAGATTTTAAAACTCTTAATACACGATGAATTTTGACCTGTAGTTTCCTCAATTACTGTATTTCCTAACATGTGCCAAGGATTAGTTTCACAAAGCAAGTTGCAGAATGAATTGGAACTCATTCTTACAATGGTGACTGTATGGCGAATAACGAAAAGATAATGCTCGAAACG